TAAAATAAAGTTTAATTACAATGAAGAAAGAACCCCCTGAGATGCCGATCAAAACCATCACGTTACCATACACAGCAGGTGTTACCAAAAATATTTCCAAAATCTTAAACAAACACAAGATCCAGGTCTGATTCAATACAGAACACAAAATCCGTGATCTAATCCCATCTGTGAAGGATGTCATTCCTGACATGCAATATCCTGGAGTCTACAAACTGAGTTGCACTTGTGGTGCCTGTTACATTGGGGAAACGAAACGACATGTATCGGACCGTGTTCGCGAACACAAGGCAGATCTGAAACACGGCAGAACCAATATCTCTGCCGTGGCTGACCATTGTTATAACGCTGTGGGCTCGCATGATATCGTTTTTTTCCGAGACCAAGGTCCTCTGCAAACCTTCGGGCTACTATCAAAGGTTTGTTCATGAAGCCATCCAGATATATAAACATAGACATAACTTCAACCGAGAAGATGGATACAAATTGAGCAATCATTGGAAGGATGTTATTAACCAGGTAATGCCTGAACTGCTTTATGGTTGTTGCCTTCATTTCCGCATCTCCTGTTTCCTCAGCCTCCCACTTCCAGCCCCCCGGCATCACGTCTGCTCATCCCCTAACGCTCTCGCAGCGCTCCCCTCCCCCTACCCCATACCCCCTCTCTATCTCTCCCCCCTTCTCTTACCTATATAGCCTCTTGTCACGGCAGCCCTCTCACCCACTTCAGCAATTGTTTCTTGCTGAGGTTGTCCCACCTGATGACGGACGCTTGTGTTGCGCCCAAAACGTGACTTTACCAAAAGAACCAAAGAGTATGGAACCCTGCAATATTTTAAAATTTGAGTCCGATAAGCATTTTCGCAATTACAACCCAAGGATGTTTTACAATTTCTTTCAACTGTCAGCGCAACAGCAAGACTAGAGCTATTCAAGAAGCAGCCTCTTTAACATGAATGATTAAAATGTATGAAATTATTAACGCGCTGTATTATTGGCTTTTACAAGTATGCAGCCCAATAAGTTTCACATTCCTCAGCATACAACGTACAACTAACACATTTAGCACGTAACTGTATGCTCACGAAAAAATAGCACATTGTATGTCAGATCAAAAATGCACATTTAACGTTTTACCTACAGCTGAAACTTACGGTATAAATATTTTATGCAGGTTTAATTAAGCTTTAAAATGAATAAAAATACCCTTAAGTTGTCACAATGTAAAATAAAAGTGCAAATAAAAGATGCTCAATGGTGTGTTTAGACAGAGGTACAAAGATGTGAGGGTCACAGGTTCCTCTTGGTGATATTTTTACACCAATAAAACTTAAAAACTAACCAGCTCAACTCCTATCCTGTACGTCAGAGTATTACATCGCAACGTTGTTAATAATACCAAAATATAGATATATTTTTAAAAATGGGCTGAGATACGAATGATCAGATATACCTGAAAGTGTGATGTTGCAGAAAATGACATTGCTTAGATTGTGTCACGTGCTGCACTTTCCTGCCCCAAAAGGTGCCACGTGTCATCGGCGGCCGTCACTTTTGTGAGCATGAAGACATTATATCATTGCATAATCTAACACGCAGCTTTCACACCCAATATTCTGATTAATTTCTTTTTGGGTTAGGCCATATAATGACCTGACCAATTCACCAAAGAATGATCGGATCATTTACATTATTCGATCATGTAAATGATCTGAATATATGTGAAAAAATAAGCTCTAAAATGGTCCTTAAAAATCCTAACCTGAAAAATCAATATCCAAAACTCATTCGTGATATGCATCCACCGAGCTATTTTCAAGACCAAGCCGAGTACACCCGTGTAGGTAAAATAGCAAGCACCACGCCATAGCCTTAGCAGTGGGAAAAGTGTTCCAAGCCAGAAGCCTGACAACACCCGCTAGCACCGTCCGCTGTTGTCCAGTCTCGACATCAGCACGAGCAGATGTGTTTAGTGCACTATGCTTGAACCTATGAACAGATAAGTACCAGCTGCATGTTTGCTGATCACCAAACTCTCACGGACCGTACACTTGGAATGTCAGCTAATCAAGGCACGGTAATCAAAACTACGAACAAAGTAAAATATAAAACTAAAAAGGATATATTGATTGGCTGGGAGGGAACATGACCTCTGTATCGCAGCCTGAATTCCAAGTGCTGGTTGACTTGATTCTACATAAGAGTCCACACAAACAAATCTGCGATTATGTAACAAAATAGCTGCGAGTTGCACAATATTGCAATATTGCACAGGCACTGCCTGTGACATCAAGGCTGTAAAACAACTACCGTGATCCCAGACACAGCCATCAGAGAAACTTTTGTCATTGATCATCCAGGGTTTGTTAAACAGTTGTTTTTAGCATTGAGAATATCTGCGCATTATTACCAATTGCTGCCTTTTTAAAATGGATGAGTATTATTGATCAAAATTTTTTTCTAATAAAAAAATCACTTTTAAAATATATTAATGAATGACAATGCACCTTTAGTCATGCCATGTTACAAACGTAGAAAAAGTTTCTGAAATAAATTGTTCCAGTTGTCTGTAATAACATCCCATTTATTTTTCCGGCAATGGTAGTTTAAAAAATAGTTTCAAAATACCGTGAAAACAAGACGCCAAATTACGTCACTGTAAACCAATTGAGTGATGTACTAAAACTTCTGCAGATTATGTGACCAGTTTGGGAGAACAAAGCAAACCATTTAAAATACACAATTCTTTGAAAGAAAAATGCCACTTGTGCTGTTTATTCCTGAGATATGTCTGCATTGCTAATTTTGTCACCTGAACTTAGTACAGCATCATGCAGCATGACTGTGGAACTTTACTTTGCAATTAGAATTTGTAAAAAATAGTTTTAAGATTTTTTACGGTGACAATAAGGCATTTTCACGCTACGTCGATAACAATCAATCTTGTGATGTACACGATATGAAAATGATAAAAGCATGACAGGCTTTTCCCTGTAAAACTGTGGCTGAAACTAAATCTTTCAGTGACTTCTTATATCCTTGCATATAAGTTTGGATAGATTAAAAAATAAATCCAAAGACAAAATAGCTTAGGAGAGAGCTAGAAAGAAATTTTAACATGTAATTTTCACAGCAAATTTGCTGAACCAGAAAACTAACCCTAATCCCAGGCCTAAAATGTATACTTACTTGACAAAATATAACTGTCGTCCTTTCTATCACACTCTTTGTTGCACTTGCTTTTGCTCTAAAACCCTACTAAATAATTGGTTAAAAAATATAACAATGACCTAACTAAATACAGCTTCACTCTACGATGTTGAAAATATCCCAAGTTCGGCTTCAGGCTCTAAATTAAAGAAACTGAAAGGTTTATGGGTTTTGCCATTTTTGTTGGGAAGAACTTTTATCGAATTTTTTATTCATATATATATTTTTTTACTCAAACAGGACTTTTAGGATGCAAGACTGCAGCTCAGTGCTATTACATAAAATATGAACGAACAATAATTTAATTCATATTCTTGGCATAGCTACAAAGGGTATTGCAATTTCACTGTGCAACTCTACATTGTGACCAATGTGTAGTGGATGTACATGAATGAATTAAAACAAGTAATAAACCACCTGAATAAAATCTACCAAATTTGGCACAGGCCTTCAATGAGTTTGAAAAGGCTTGGTCATGGGATACATTTGTGCGTGACAAAAGTGTCCACTGCATTTGTATAGCTTATACAAAATCTGATTAACCACACAAAGAGAGGAGAGAGATTGATGGTGAAATTAAATGGTGGGGCTTGTTTTAAACAGAGCTCTCTAAATCATCTGAACAACTTGCTAAGTCAAAAATAACTCGTCAACAATCTCATCAATTGGTCCCTGTCTCCAGAATGACAAAGAGGAGAGGGGGGGGGGTCGATCCAAAAGCAATAGCTACACCATATCCCCATTGGAGCCTTGTAATAAGAACTCCAGCTGAGAGAGGTTTAGATTTGAAGCTTTCGTGACTGCAAGGATTCATATTCTTAGGTTTTTTCGGTAAAGTCACGTAGGTAAAAAATTAAAATTAATAAAAGTAAAATAAAAATGAAATGAAAATCACGACGTTTCGGAGGCAACACAAGCTTCCGTCTTCAGGTGGAACCGTCACAGCACGATAGCTGTCGATAGCTGTATACAGCTATCGTGTTGCCTCCGAAACGTCGTGATTTTTATTTTATTTTTATTTTACTTTTCTTAATTTTTATTTTTTACCTACTTGACTTTACCGAAAAAACCTAAGAATATGAGAGAGGTTTGCGCTGCTCGCAAGCTTAAATTTGCCGGTGGTCGGCTCGCAACTCCATTGAGAATCCAACCCAAGAAAGCTTGACGCATGTGTGCAGCCGACCAAGCAGAAGGAGGCACTAATAACAGAACAGACGACTGCACTGGTGGAGCTATATTAAACTAAAACTAAACGGATTTTATTTTACCAGGTAAGGTCCACTGAGCTATATAGCTGATAATGAGAAGCCACCTGGCCACAAATGATAGCTCCACAAAGTGGCTTGTCATGCGTAAATGTATAGCAACCAAATACTCTAAAGGCATTTTTCTAAATGTGGAGGGAAAAGCCGGAGGACCCAGAGAAATATTCACGTGACCTCGAAAAGAACATGCAAGGTCGAAATACACAGCAGGCGTCAGCGTTGGGATCGAACCCACAACCTCCTGTAAACCAGGCGAGGCAGTTAACATCTTTTCACCGTGGAGCGCATATTACTGAAACGAAGCTGTGTTTATATTGGGGTGACTTGAAAAGACACTCACCAGTACACGAAAGCTGATGATTCATATATGAAATCGTTCAGGAGTAAAATGACAGACCTGGCTGTAATGACAGGGTGACAATGGACGTTGCCGTCCACGCAGATGGCTATTGCGTGCCAACAATAAATGACTTTCAAAGGCTTCCGCGGCCTTCGAAGTTATTGCTTTCTGTGGGATAATGCTAGGTGCAACTCCATGGTACAGCGGAGTATTTTCAAGCGAGGTTCTAATCACAGATTTAAAGTTCACAATGATGTCTGGACGTCAAGGTACAATCCACAATCAAAACCCTGTTAAAAAATTATGAATGCAGCAAACTTGCAAAAAAATTGTCCCAATGAGTGTGTTTGGCAGAGCAGTACTTTCCAGGACACATAAAACATACATTTGAAAGTTAACTTGAGTTTTTACTCCTTTTTTAATTCCTATGACAAACAAAGAAATGTGTGTTGCAAGTCACAATACATACACATTTTAGTTACCAAACAGTATATTGTGTCCTGAGAAATGTGGGGCTCTTGGGAGGGGAAAAATAAATAAAATGATAAAGACACAAATTAATTTTCTGTGAATATCCTAAAATATTTATTACAGAGGCACGAAACAATAAATGAAGCGACGGCACAGTTTTAAGAAGCCAAAGCACGGACATGAACTTGCTTCACAGCTGGCTACTTGTGTCAAAATATTCAGTGTAGTGCGTTTATCTTGGTCTAAAGCTCCATCAGAAACCCTGTATCTAAATGTGCAGATGCCCCCCCCATACATCAGAGATGAGAAATTCTCTCGAGACAAATTCACTAATCAGAGGCATTGTTCACATTTCAAAAGCCCTGCCTAGAGCTTAAGGGGAAAATATATAATAATCATAATATGGAATATATTACACACAACCACCCCATCATTTACGTGGTGTTTCTGCAAACATGTTTCTGAAACATCACATCTTCTTAACCAGGTGGCAGGGAGGGGGTCTGGTGGACACAAATTTGCCCAGATTCGTATTACTTGGCCTGACCTAAACACCGTCTATGAATCGTATCTCTGGCAAACACCACCATGCTTCAGGCCCACTCATTTACTGAAGGCTTTAACAATTAGGGGGGGGGGGGCTGTTTTAGCATGAAGTTATACTCTCGGTTGTTGTGACACGGGGCATTTGTGCATGAAGCTGTTCATCAGTATCCAAGCAGGGGGTGGGAGGAAGGGTGCAAGGATCTCGGCGGTTGATGGCATGATGGTTTTGAGCAGCAGTGTAGGTGAAGAGATGTCATCACTGTGCAAAGGGGAAATGGTTGGATCTGTAGGAATCTTGTGTGTGAATCCAGAAAACTGATATTCAATACATTCTTCACAAAGGCCGAGTAGCCTCTTGTAAGATTTCAAATCAACACTGCAGTCAATGCTTGAACCTATAGGGTTGCACACGTTTGTCAAAATGTATTCTGATACGAGCTGCTATCTTGGGGTATGGATTCTTTGCATGCTGCGCAAAACTGATGGGAACCACAGGAAGACATGAAGGTAGATCTGTTTCCATCTCTACCTCCACATGCCCCCCGCTGCTTTCTTTAAGCCGTTCATAGGGGCACATTTCCAAGACTTGGGAGTCTAAAACAGAGACAGCTACGACGAACTGGTAAGTGCTTAAGCGGGTACCGTCACCTAAATGCACTGAACGGTGCCAAACGTTACGGGGGTAAAATACCTATGGGCGGAATCACAACTCATCGCTGCCGTGTCGCTTTGCATGCACCAGCTAAAACAGCAGTAACCACGGGACGCACCGACGCAGACCCACAGCCTCCGCCGGCTGCCTAACAACGCAATGGCAGCGACGGCACAACAACGACGACGATGATGCACAAGAACAACGGCGGTGATGAAAACAGCAGCGGCTACACGAACAAAAAAAAAACCTAAGATTAAAATAAATCGCGGTAGCAATACCGACGCTGACACAATCTCGACCGGCAACCTGCGCTCCGGATCGCATTGCCGAGCCGGCCAATGGGACGCACGGAAAAATGGCGGCTCTAGTAAAGTCCACAACCGCGCAGGTTGTTTGCAATGATCACGTCGGTGACGGCGTCGAAGACAAACTGGATGTTGTTGGTGTCGGTGGCGCACGTCATGTGGCAGTAGATCTCCTTGTTGCTCGACTTGTTCTTGCTCTCGTACTGCGCCTGGATGTAGGCGGCCGCTTCTACAAACTCGTTAGCTCCTGCGCGGAGCAGAGGCAAAAGGGTTAACCGCAGAAACGCCAATCCGCATCGTCGCACGTGTCGGCGAAATTGGCCTACGATTCATCATCGTCGTGGTCGTTTTCGTCGTCATTGTCTGTAAAATAGCAAGAAATGCTTCCCACTATCATAGACATGTACGGAGAGTTTTGTCAATCGACAGAAGAGTGACCCCGTCCTCCCCTCGCATGCCTTGAAAGTCGTGAGGATTGTCTGGCCATAATCTCCCATGCTGTGTGGTGTGGGTTGGTGTGGGAGGAGGAGGGGGGGAAGTAATAGAACAGCATTGCATTTTTGCTGCACTGCACTCTGCTGCCCACAAAGCCAACTTTTATTTTGCGCACTGCGGTGGCCCATCCGAGCACTATCCAGGCTCAAACCCGCTTAGCGTACGAGGCCTGACGGGATCGGGTGCATTGCTGGGTAATTTGGTCACAGCTTCCATTAGCGTAGGCGAGAGCAAAAATTGTACATTGTGATACGGATTCATGAAGCGTTTCAAGACGTTATGTATTTGGTTTTCGGAGAAAGGAATGCTCATGTGATGGGGGGAAATGCACGACAAGGCCACGATGCTCTGAAGTTAAGCAGAGGGATTGTGTGCAGCGTGTGTTGGAGAAACACACACTGCTTTAGTGTACAATTTACATTGTAGCATGTCAGGAATTGGCTGTTAGGTAGAAGAGAGGAAGAAATTGCGGAGTCTGGATGTAAACAGGAGGAGGGAGTCGGCAGCGCCGATGGCCTGGTAGGATGTCGGTAGCTTCAGACTGAGAGAGCAGAGGAATATAATGAGCGTCCCCTTTTAAAGCAGATTTGACTGATGATGAAAATCAAGTTATGATTGACCACCACCCTCATCGCACGGCAAGAAGCTGGGTTGGCAATGACATGGAAATTATAACGTTTAACAAAAACGCAAGTGATATCCATTAAAGTGTTTTATTCCCAAAGCTATGTAAGGGTATTTAATATTTTTTTTAAATTTATCCTCTAGCTTGAGAGCTTAAGAGCATCATGAAAACAGCACATTGTTTTATTATAATGTGAATAAAAAACAGGCAGCTTAGAGATATGTGGTGGCTTACATATACAATGATTCTGCTGTGAAATTGTACAATAAGATGCGTTTAATCCTTTTTAAACAAGTAAGTTTGTATGTATGTATTCTATGGGTCTTTCGGTAAAGCCACGTAGATGGAAAAATAATAAAAATATCATGACGTTTCGATTGCAACACAAACAATCGTCTTCAGGTGAGAGAGAGAGAGAAAAAGCTGCTGAGACAAGGTCTTAAATAGGCTTGAGATGGGTGCATCAAGGTAGATGGGTGGAGTTAGAGATGGTCCAACTACAGAGGCTGGGGCAGTGGCCTTTGTATTGTGAGAGATTAGCGTGTAGGGCGCCACCAAAGCTGTGGAGGTGGCCATCGTATTGTGTGTAGGCCAAGGGTAAGTGGGCGGGGCTAGAGATGGTATTTGCATGTAAATGTAAGATCAGAGGGCACCCTGAGGCTGTGGAGGTGGCCATTGTATTGTGAGAGATTAGCAGAGGTGTGGACTCGAGTCATGTGGCTTGGACTCGAGTCAGACTCGAGTCATGAATTTGATGACTTCAGACTCGACTTGGACTTGCATAACAATGACTTTGTCCCACCTCTGAGGTGTGGACTCGAGTCATGTGACTTGGACTCGAGTCAGACTCGACTCATGAATTTGATGACTTCAGACTCGACTTGGACTTGCATAACAATGACTTTGTCCCACCTCTGGAGATTAGCATGTCAATGTAAGAGAACCACCCCAACGGTCGATGTGCTAGTGAGACATTCAGCCCGTTGAAAAAAAAAAGACTATTGCTTGTGTTGTGATCGAAACGTCATGATATTTTTAATATTTTTCTATCTACGTGGCTTTACCGAAAGACCCATAGAATATGTATTCCTCGAGTCACGAAAGCTTTAAGTCGAGATTTGATTTTGTATGCTTCAAAGCACAAAAATTACAAATCACAAACATTTTAAACACATTATTCCTCGACTCTTAAAACATTAATGTATTCTTTAGAAATGTAAATTATGAAAATGTGTTATATTTTAAATTAAGAAATCACTCTTGCATTAAATATAAATATCGTAGAAGTAATAATAATATCGCACGTTTGTTCATGGAGATGATTTGTGTTGGACATGCGCAAACAAAACTTATAATTCCTCAACATATATGCACGACAACACAAGGCCAAAACATGCTTTGCGAGCCAATTGGGTAGGTCAGATGGCAAAAGGGAATCAGTAAGCAGATTGTCAATCACAAGCTAAGAGCTGCACCCAGGACTGGCACGGAACACAATCCCATTGACAAGCAAAATATAAAAGTGCCGGTATTTTCCCTTAACCAACCCACAGGGTAAACACGCACAGCCATCTGCAACGCAGCGTTGCAGAACTGTCTTGCATGAGATACGAGGGGGGCCTCTGATAAACTCGCCCATGGCCAGAATGTAACGGCCAAATACAAAATTGCCGTCTTTTAAAGTGCATTAGCGCAACCCTCCAGGTGGGGTTGACATGGAAAGGTTTGCGCCTAACACTCTCACTCTTGCTCCGTAAGCACAGTAATTGGATGGTTTCATTTATGGGGAAAAAAATACTGAAGAAATTAATCCGTTGCTCAACCCCCCGGCATTGCCGTTCTGAAAATGTATCGAGGCCCAGTTGAGGCTTCCCTGGATAGAACTAACAAGCCCAATAATTATTGTTTGCACCCAATAATTTTTTTTACAGACTGATTTTGTTCTTTGCAAATATTCCTCAGATATACGTTCCAAAAAGGGACTTGCTACAGTGGCTTCAAATTGATATCTGAATGATGGAAAGGTGATAGATTTATTTGTAGATTTCATTTCATTGAGTAAGTTAAGGGAGGCCGCTGTAGACGTACCAATATAGTCGGGAAAGCAAATGTTGAGTGGAGAGGTGGAAATCTTGTCCTCAAAGATGTCCTTCTTGTTGAGGAAGAGGATGATGGACGTGTCGGTAAACCATTTGTTGTTACAGATACTGTCAAAGAGTTTGAGAGACTCATGCATTCGGTTCTGCAAGAGACAAAAAAGGCGTTCCCTTTGAGAGGTCTTGGGTCAACTCAAGTCTGGCTCAATCAGCCTCGGGAGCGAGTGGGGTCGGGTAGGGGGAGAAGGGAACAAAACAAAACAACAAAAAAACCCCACGGAACAGGAGGATGGCGTGGTCGAGTGTGCTCACGTTTGATGTGCAAATCCTCACAACGAGGAGGGTTTGATAGCCGAGTTAATTTCTAGCGATAGGAACGTACAGGGTATCCTTCGAGGTGTCATCCATCGTTTAAATAATTATTATGAGCGACTGTTTGAACTTCGTGGTTGAATCTTTGGGGATTACGTGAAAGATAAGGTGTTTGCCAAAATCCAACCAATAATCCTAATTAAACACGAAAGGCTGGAGTGATCTTCAGACGCGCAAGATAGAAGCGTTCGGAACGATCAGAGCCGAGATATTGGTGAATGCCGGCACTCTCGCGAATCTCGATGCGGCGCCAACACCGTGGCAGTTTTTTTCTTCCGTGGCCGTCTGGAACGTTCTTCAGATATTAGGAAGCCGCTGCAGGTTATGCACTTTAAAATCATTGACATTGAAAACTCATTGCATTTTGTGTTTAGTTTGTTGTCTTCCCCCCGCACCTCCGATCAGCACGGTTGGCTATGTATGGTGCGAAAGAAGTTCAACATGCATACAGCTGTGTGGTGGTTTAGTTGGTTATAATGTACGTGATAGAATCTTCACACGACAGTGTGTCCATGGACAGAACTCAAACTGTTGTATAATTGGTATTATTTAAAATTGGATGATACCTTTATTGATACCCTGTACTTAAATCGTTTTTTCTTTTTAGTTCTTTTCGAGAAGTCATATTTTACTGTAATGGAAAGTCACAAGGGTAAAATGAGTTTGTTTAGGCGCATTCATGCAGTATGTATGCATGCGTGTATTCATGAATATATTAGGGGTGGTCAAGATATATAAACATTTAATATTTACAGTATTTGCATTCATTGCTGACATTGAATAAACTGGTGCAATTTTTAACAGCAATGTTCCTATTCTAATTGTAATATTGTAACACGATTTGAAGATAAAGAGCGAAGGATTAGCTTCGTCAGACATATGAGTAAATATAAATTATATTTTTTATCGATCTCAATCCTCTGCTGCATGGAAGGCCCCAAGGCGTGTTGGTCATTAAGGGGGTGTTTTAACCATACTTCACCACACCAGTCAGTGTGGGTTGGTGAGCCCAGGATAGATGCACACATCACTCGCCACCGATGTTAGCCGTGGCCATAAAATAGCACTCATATCTACCGGGATTAATGGCGCATTGCGCTAACCACCGTGCCACCACTCCCCGCTCAATTTCAGCCCATCTTGACCACTCCCTGATATATGCACGCAATTGTATACATACACCTTATTGCAGTTTGTACACATATCATGCTGCAAATGTACACAGGGTGATCCATCATGAGATACAGCACTAATATAATGAGACCTTATAGAGAAAACTATCTTTTATTTTAAAAGCCTCTACATGTCTCCCACCAATCTCAACACATTCATTTAATATTTTAACACCCCCCCACTCCACGCTCCTGTGAGATATGGAGCCGTCGTTGTCAATAAAGTAAGAGGGCCATTAAAAAAAATCAGTGGGGTACCTATAATTGGATCATCCTGTATAATAAAATTCATGTCATCATAATAAAACAGTTCATCTGCGTTTACAATAATACTAAATTTACAAAAATACATGCAAACCCAGGTACGGTAAATGTATGTTCAGGTGGCTAAATGGAGCTTGGCAGAGTGAGGAAAGGAAAGATATCACTTTGAATGTACTAAAGGTGTTATCCTTTATATAGGTCCTGCCAGGCAAAGCACGGTGATAGAACTACGACAATTCACAATACCGCAGCTGCATTAACACGGGGGTGCTAATTCTAGGGTGTTAGTTCCAAGGCCATAGCCATGGAGTCAACATTTGGGGGGGACCAAATCTTCCAGGGGGTCTGGGGTCCCCCCCCCCCCAGAAAAAAAAATCTCAATTTGAAAGAATTTCCTGCCTAAAATATATATGGGATGGACTTTTTATTTATGTTCTTAGGTTTTTTCCGGTAAAGTCACGTAGGTAAAAACATCAAAATTAATAAAAATAAAATAAAATAAAGATCACGACGTTTCGGAGGCAACACAAGTCTCCGTCATCAGGTGGGACCGTCAGACTTGTGTTGCCTCCGAAACGTCGTGATCTTTATTTTATTTTATTTTTATTAATTTTGATGTTTTACCTACGTGACTTTACCGAAAAAACCTAAGAATATGAATCCTTGCAGTCACGAAAGCTTCAAATCTAGAATTTTTATTTATGATTTACAATAATGTCGAATAGTGTATTGTATTACATTGCTCTGTTTTTTTACTTTTCTTGTTTCATAGTATGTAATAACAGAGATTAGGGATTAATAAAGTACAACCATAACCACAATCATATAAACAGAAATCTATTTTATAGCAATATATTGGGGGGGGACATTTTGAGCATATGTTTATATATTATAATTACGGCCTTGGTAAGTTCTAACCACGTCTAATCTCTTCTCCGTTGTCATCACATTCTGACGAACCCTGTTACGAATGTGATATTTGCGTCATTTCCAACATTTTGGTCACTGCACCGCGTCAGTCGTGGTAGTCTTTAAAGCGCACTTCACCACACTGGCCGGTGTGGCCTGGTAAGCAAGCGGGTGAGAGGATCCAGGCTCAGATATCACTCGTCATTGATGTTAGCCGTGGCCGGGAATCAAACTCGGGTCGATGGATTCATAGCGCGGTGCGCTTACCAGTGCATCACTGGTACCCCCCACCAGTTAGATCCACAATGTTATTGTTCTGAAGAACCAGAAGTTTGTTCATGGGGAGCTCCTTCCTTTATTGTGAATGCCGCCAATTTTGTCATCGTGCACCTGCTAGAGTAGTGATCCTCGTTCCCCTGCCAGAGCTCCTTCAGCCATCCACATTGTTATCATATGCATAACCATATATATATATAGTACGTATATATATAATGTAGGAGGAAAGTGTTTTCTTGTGCTGAATTACGGTTAGACGCAGTTTATCCAAAGTTCATTCGCAATGTTCAAACGAGCCACCGTTATTAAAAATTGTAGTTCTTTGCGGACTTGAGTGACGACCACTCAACAAGAAAATCCGCTGTAATTGACGCTTCCCTGTCGGGGGACGGTGACTCGCATCGGGTCTTAGGTTGAGGGCCGCACGGACACTTTGGATAGGACACAACGAACCGTAACAGCAAACGCCTTGCATGCATCCGTAATACCATGTGGAAAGGAATTGCATTCAAACACAGAGGGAAACAGAAAACCAACCAAACAAACGAAAGACAAAACAATGCTCAGATCATCCTCGCTACAAAAGGGGAGTCATGGGACGACCATGCCAGCGCTGACTCGATGCACAACAACACCGGGACCACGAGGTCCAGTGGGCTGTATGAGGCATGTTGAAATGGGTAGGCCGGTCCGCCCATGAGTCATGCTCGATGGGTTTTCCGCAGGGATGCTGGAGGTAAGAGGAGAAGGAAAGCGGGCCGGCAAGGTACATGCAAAATCGCTCGCACGATGCTAACCATGACGCCGGTGTGTTTTGCACCACGTCAAAAAACCAACCGGCTGATGGGTCACGCTTGACTTACGTCCGGTACCTGATTGGTGTCGGGGGTGGGGGGTTACTGCTGCACGCACGTTTAAGTGTCGACTGCCTCGCGCCGTGTCCATGCAATTTAACTCTCCCTCTTCGAGTTAGAATCGGGCTGCTTGTGTGCACCACGTGCCATCTCGTGAGCTTGCGAGATGTTTTTTTTTTCTTTTGGTTGTTTTACCCGCAATGCAACGGTGGCTGGTGTTTTATTAAAATCGTAGCATTCGTTTTCAGAAAGTGAAGCATTCCATTCAAAAACTATATATTACATGTAAATTATGTGCACATATGCATTCAGTGTTTTCACAGTGTATGGAAAGAAGGGTGGCTACACGGATAATGTATGTATATATAGCATCTGTCTGCTGCTTATATGAAAAAGCTGACATTTCAAAAACCAAATTGGTCTAAATATATTGCCGTATCAGGGCACTCGGCATGCCATTGCTGCTATTACCGTACATTTGGCCCAACGTGCATGCACAATTTTGCAAGCATAAAAAAAACTACGTGTTTAGATTAAAAGCCCGGAAATTTCTTCCATATCAGAGATACCAGTGGCCCAAATGTGTGCTGCCTTCATGACTGAACAAAAGCAAAAAACCTGCCAATGAGAAACTGTGGGGTATGTGCCAGGATTTGCATCTCTCTTGCATTTTCAAAGCCTGGTTTTGAGGTTCAAATTATTCACGAATGTGGCACAGCATGTGCCAGATGACGGCATAGTCATTTTCCATATGTTGTCAGTTTCACATCAGTCTATTTCGTTAAGATACCGCACAAGGTGCTGAATTAATATTTGAAAGAGTGAGCCACTGTGTGTGGGTGCCTCCTGTCACAACACACACACGGCTCTCTCTACAAAAGGTACGTTGCTTGGCATCAGGGTCTCCATGCAGAATCAGCCGCATATAACCCAACAAGCATGACCCCGTGGAGACATTGCTATAAACAAATGAACAAATATAGACCCTAATATCCTTGCTTAAGAATATTCACGAAAACAAATACGGTACTGGCTGGTTGTACGTAAGCTACGGCATTGGGGGTACTGCGTAGTTAAATAAGCCCAAAAAAATGCCAATGTCCATATAAAAATGTCATATTCATGGCAATGTGCAGACAAGGTCACAGCAGTCTATGCCACTATTGTCACATAATTGTGATCGATGTAGGAAATTAAACGGAAAGCCTAACTTTGAATGTTCCATTACGCATGCCTCTGTTGGGGTTTTGTGGCGTTGAGTGAACGCTGCCATTCAAGCTACAACCACGCGTGCAGCAA